TAGATTCTTCATTTTCTTCAGAGGAAAAGTCTTTGTAATTGAAGTCATGATCTTTTAATTTTTTTATGCCCGCTGTAATTAATTTCATGTCATTTCCAATAACAGACAATTACTATTATTTATCAATTTAGCTTTTTTTCTCGACTTGTTATAAGATTTATGATTCTAAATGCTTTTGATTTCCATTATCAGAAAGATATCTAATACAATCTTACGCTTTATCTTTTAGAAGCATTTCTAATACAACACCAAAGATTTATTCATCTACATCCTTAACTTAACTAAATATGTAAGCAATGGCTTCCTACACTTAAAAAGAGCCTTGCATTTTCTTATTAATTTTAATAATGAATTTCTATGACTCTAATTTCAGTTATTTACTGCAAAATCAATACAATATTTTATGTATTTTCTACAATAGTAGTTTGGACTTTTTTTTCATTGATGTAAAATATGCTATTGATAGATCATTTCAACATCTGAATTGCTTTCTTCTTAAATAATATGGAATAATTAATTTTTAATGAATAATTTAATTTCTACAAAAAATTGATTTCTATGATGATGATTTTTTCTTCAAAATCATTACTTTCTGAAATCTTGTCATCTTTTTATTTGTCATAATGGGCTTTTTCATGAGAGAATATCAAAAAATGCACTTGAATATTAATGTAATTAAAAATGTTCTATTACTATGAGAATTTTAGAGAGGTATTTTAATAGATTTTTGAAAATCTAATTATTTATATTTGATAACAACTTGGGTAAATAACCTAACAAGAAAAAGGGCTTACACAATTTCGAATTATTACTCAGATTAATAATAATGGTTTTTCTATTATTTTCCAGAATACTTATCTTCTCTTATCTATGACCTCCAATATAGTATGGGGATTTGGCTGCCCTTGTTTAAATAGAGGGATCTTTATAGTCTAAAGTAGAGAATGATGTGAAGAGAATATTCTTAAGTAATCTCATACAAATCAATAGTAAATAACCTTAATTTTAAAGCAACTCAAATTCACAACATTAATAATCAATAAATTATGTGAGGAATTCTCAAAATTAATAATCAAATCTGAATGTCAAAAATAAAATTTCTCTAAACCGTATTAAAGTTATTGAATAATTGATCAATTATAATGTTGTTATCATCAACGTAAACATATATAGATCTTTCATTTTTTAGATATGAAAAATTAAAATATTTTAACACTATCCATAATTTTTTTGGTAATTTCTTAGTGAATTAATTTAAACTTAAAGATGAGATGATCTAAAGAAAATAGATTTTAATTACTTAAGAAGTGTTCAAGAATATTTTTGTATATATAGTATTTAAAATAGTGAAAATCCTCATGAAAGTAACATTGATTATATAGTCTGATTTTTAAAAAAGCTGTGTATATCACCTCAGGGATTTATAATTGTTTATAATTTGATAGATGTAAAAATTTAAGTTGAGCTAAAGTTATTGTTCATTATTAATTATTTAGATGAAATTCTTATAAAAGAATTAGATGAATTAGTCAATAAATTTTAAATACGATTTAAATTATTAATTGAAATATAACATAAAGCTGAAGTAATATATAATAAAGTAACTGATTACTTTAGAGCATTTTCAGAATATATATGCATAAAGTTATTATAATATTTAAAATTTTCCATTAAAAAATCACTTTTTTATCTGAAATAATGGTTAATAATGAAAAAGATTAAACTTAACTAAATAATTGTAAAAGATTTCCATAAAATTCAATATTTTTTATGAATATTGAGCCAAAGTTATAATTTTGATTTACCTGAAACTATTTCTATCAGTGATTCATCAACGCAGGATTATTTTATA